GGACTTGCCAGCTTCTGTAAGTGTGTGAGCCATTTTCCTAAGATAAATTTCTCTCTCTCTCTATAAGCTTTACTGGTTTTGCTTCTCTAGAGAACCCAGTCTAACACAGCCCCCATACCAAAGCCTGTTGAAGACATAATGAGCAAGGAAAATTACAGCCCACTCTCTCTGATGAACACAGATGTAAAATTCCAAAACAAATTAAGTCCAGAAAACAAATATATGAAAAATTCCTCGTGATCAACATTACAAAACCTGAAAGACCCTTCTCAGGTAGTGATTCTCATTCTGGCCTGCATGTTAAAATCACCTGAAAGTGCCTTTAAAAAATACCAGTTCCTGGATCTCTCTCCAGAGATTCTGATTTAGTTTGTCAAGGTAGAGGTTGGGCATCAGTAGTTTTTAAAGGCTCATCATTTGATTCTACTGTGCAGCCAGAATTGAGGACTCAAACTGGTTTACATGGTAGATAATAAAAATGTTAATCTATGTGCACCAGGAAGAGCACACAAATGTTTATAGAAACATTATTTTCAATAGCTAAAAATTAGAAAAATTTAAATATCTACCAATAAGAGATTGGATAAAGAATGGCATATTCATGGAGTAGAATACTATGCAGCAGAGAAAAATGAATGAACTACTTTACAAACACCAATATAAATCTGAAAAATTGATGTTGTGCAAAAAAGAAGTGTACAGTAAGCCATTTATATAAACTCTAATATAAACCCAAACCCATTGCCATTGAGTCAGTTTTGACTCATAGTGGTGACCCTTGGGGAACTGCCCCATAGGGTTTCCAAGGCTGTAATCTTTAAGGAAGCAGATTGCCACGTATTTCTTCTGCAGAGTGGCTGAAGGGTTTGAACTGCTAACCTTCCAGTTAGCAGCCACACACTTTAACCACTGAGCCACCAGGGCATATAAACTTTGCACATATGCAAAACAATACTATATATATTGTTCAGGCATACATACATGTACATGAGAAATACAAACAGTGAGGGCAACTGGGGAATAGTAAGAGTAGGATTGAAGATATTCACAGGAATTGGCAGGGGGACACAGAGAAACTTCCACTCTATTTATAATGGTTTCTTTCTTATGCCACTATCTCTCAGTTTGTTGTAGTGTGGTGGCTTGTGTGTTGCTATGATGCTATATGCTATGCCACTGGTGTTTCAAATACCAGCAGGGTCACCCATGGTGGACAGGTTTCAGTGGAGCTTCCAAACTAAGACAGACAAAGAAGAAGGGCCTGGTGAGCTACTTCTGAAAATTGGAAAACCAATTTGCTCTCTAGTTTTTCACTTAAATCACAATAAAATGTTTTTTCACAATAAAATGTTTTTTTTTTTTTTTTTTTTAAATAAACAAAGCTATGGGGCACAGTTCTATTCTGACACACGTGGAGTCACCATGAGTCTGAATCAACTCAGAAACAAAACAAAACAATCTTATGAACAAGTCTGGGCTAGTTTGCTGCAGAATGTGAGAACATGGTCCAGTCTCCCTTGCCAGTGAGATGGATGGACACAATGGCTGCGACAATGGGCTTGAGCACAGCAACGATTGTGAGGATGGGGCAGGATCGGACAGTGTTTACTTCTGTTGTGCGTAAGGTCTCCATGAGTTGGAACCGACGCGATGGCACCTAGCAACAACAACATGGATTACAACAGAATCCATAAGATTTTTATACAGGGCTGGAAGATGAACCCCTTAAGTTGGAAGGCACTCAAAATATAGCAATGGATTTGAGTATACCACCAATCAGGAGGATGGTGCAGGACTTGGCAACATTTCATTCTGTTGTACAAGGGGTGGCTATGAGTCAGAACCAACTCCACAGCAACTAACAATAACATTTCTTACCCTTTGTGTTAGACTGGGTGCTTTGGAGAAGCAAAACCAGTAAAGATTATATATAGAGAAGGATAAAGAGAAATTTATCTTAGGAAAATGGTTCACATAGAAGCTGGCAAGTCCCAAGTTCTTGGATCAAATGTCAAGCTGGAGGCTTTTCCCAACTCACGAAACTGCAGGGGCTGATGAGCTCAAGGTTGGAAGGCAGTATATCAGCTCTTGACTCCAACAAATGATGACTCCAAGATCTCCAGGCCAAATGGTGGATTGTTTGCTTGCAGACAGTTGCAGGCAGCATAACAGAATCCTGATCCACAGAACAGTGCGTCTTTTCCCAGGATGTCCATAAATGTATATATAAGAGGCCACACCCCTAGAGAAACTCCCTTTCAATGGACTGGCTGCTCAAAACATATATATCCAATCCCATCCTGGGAAGAGCCCACATCACAACTGCTTAAACCTCACAGAATTGTGGTCCAGCCAAGTTGACACACAGCTCCAACTGTCACACACACATCCTAGCTCATAGCTACTTTAATGTTTGGTATGTTACTCATACTTTTTTGTATATTTGAAATATTAATATTTCATACTTTTAAAGTGATGGCATTAGTATCATATCTGTATAAAGTTAGGCCTAAATTTTGTCTTTAAAAAGTTAAATGCCATGTAGAAGAATTTATATAGAATCTACATACATATGTGTTAGACTGGGTTCTCTAGAGAAACACAAAAACCAGAAAAGTATATATATATATTTATAGAGAGAGAGAGAGAGAAATTTATCTTAGGAAAATGGCTCACAAGTGTATAGAAGCCGACAAGTCCCAGCCGACAAGTCCAAGTCTCTGGAGGAGATGGGCTGGCGGCCGCTTTAGCTTTTGTAAGCGCAGGGGGCCGAGAGATTCAAGGCTGGCAGGGAGTACACTGGTTGTTGACTCCAACAAAAGACGAATCCAAGATCTCCAGGCCGAGCGGTGGGCTGCTCACTCACGGAAGTCTGTAGTCTGCACACCAGGGTTCCAATCCCTCAAAGAATGTGGCTCTTCCCAGGATGTCCCTGGATATCTTGGAAGCAGGCCACACCCCCAGGGAAACTCCCCTTGGGCAGCCTGGCCACTCAGAACACAGTCATCTGATCCCATCATGGGAACAACCACACAGAACTGGGGTCCAGCCAAGTTGACACACAGCTCCAACTATCACACATATATAGAATTCTTATACATAAATAAAGGAGCTCTGGTGGCATAGTGCCTAAGGCATTTGACTGCTTACCAGAAAGTTGGTGGTTCAAATCCATCAACCACTCCATGGAAGGAAGACTGAGCAATCTACTTCCATAAAGATTTAACACCTTGGAAACCCAAAGGGGGTTGCTATGAGTTGGAATTGACTTGATGGTAGTGAGTTTGGTTTTTGGTTTTATACATAAATAGGAAGGTCTGGTGGTGTAGTGGTTAAGGCATTTGGCTGCTTACCAAAAGGTCAGTGGTTCAAACTCACCAGCTGCTCCATGGAACAAAGATGAGACAATCTGCTTCCATAAAGATTTTTAGCCTTGGAAACCCAATGGGGGTTGCTATGAGTCTGAACCTACTTGATGGCAATGAGTTTGGTTTGGTTTATACATATATAGAATCCCTATACATACATAAGGAATTTCTTATGTATGTACATATATAAACATATATACAATATCTATATAGAAAACATGCCTATGTATAGAAGAATTTCTGTATATGAAAGAATTTCTATAACTTAAGTGCTTGTATCTCTCTGTGTTCTCTTTTTCATTTTTTTTCCCACTCACCAAGATTTCATTCCAAACAGCAGGTGTTCTGAGCTTTTCCATTTCCTGGTACACCCCTCTCTTCAATATTATCATTTCTCCTCCTTATCAGAGAATCAATTCTAACAACAGAAGGTCATCTGGACCTGTACCCTGTAAACCCAATACCACTATATATGCATTAAAAGTCAAGACAAAACATGTTTTTTTTGTTTTTTAAATCATCCTTTAAACTCAATTTTGAGACTTTTAGTCTCAATACTTATAGAATAACTTTTTGATTTTTTCAAAAATAATTCTGTTTCACATTTTAATGGAAGAAAACCTCAGACAAATCCAAGTGGGATAATTCAACAAAATGACTGACGAGGATCCTTCAAAAGTCTTGTTCCTGAAAGATAAGGAAAGACAGGAGCTACCCCAGATTGAAAAGCTTAAGGAGACATGACAACTTAATGTAATGTGGGACCCTGGATTGGATCATGGAACAGGAAAAGAACATTAAGTGGGAAAACTGGTGAAATGAAAAAGGCAGCTTAGTCTAGGTCCCTGGGTGGCACAGGCAGTTTGCCATCAGCTCCTAACCTAAAGGTTGGCAGTTCCCATCTAGCCACGTGTGCCACGAAAGAAAGGCCTGGTGACCTGCTTCCATAAAGAGTACAGCTCTGAAAACCCAGGGAGTCAAGAAACTAATGAGCTCGAAAACCCCAGAGTAATCAAGAAACTATAACACGTGGGGTCCTCATGATGTGGCTCAAGGCAGCAGGTTTTTTGTTTTGGGTAGTTAATAGCCCCAATGTTAACTTCCTAGTTTTGATCATTGTACTACGATTATGTAAAATGTTAACATTGCTGAATAAAAGGCATAAGGGGAATTCTAATATTTGTGGAACTTTTCTGCAAGTCTAAAATTAGCTCACAATATAAAGTTAAAAAATAAAATGATTTTTAAAAGAAAAATAACAATACTGTTTTGTTTTAAAATAGTCCGGCAATCGAGAGACAAGGTCTGGTTAGGTTAGCGCGTGTATGCGCGTACTGGGGGCCATCTCGGCCCATTCAGGCGCTGAATCCAATGGCTCAGGGATTCGCCGTGAAGTCGCAGCGAGGAGCGGACATGCGTGGCTGTGTGTGTGGGGGCGGGGGCGGGGTGTCTCATTACCTATGCAAAGGCTCCTCCCGCCTGAAGTGCACGTCTCAGCACTGACACCTGGGTTTCCACCATACTTCAGCATGGGCGGCGCTGGGAAGGGGACATTTGTCTGACTAGGGCTTTTTCTCTGGCAGTCCCCAGAGTCCAGCGAGGAGAGAGCCGTCGCCTCTGTTCGCCGCCGGCATGGCCCGCTGCCTGGGACTTGCGCTGCTACTGCTGTTGGGTGAGCGCCTGCCTCCTCCCCAGCCCCTTTTACTCCCGCTCCCTCCTTGGGACCGGATGGAAGGGCAAGAGGGCGATTCCGAGGACAAGCAGGAACGCTGGAAGAGGTGTGTCTGCAGCCTGTGTGAGGTGTGCAGCAACGCCTGGCAGTGTCCCGGGCCGCAACTCCGCACCCAGCCCTTGCCTTCAGCCCTTGCCTTCAGCCCTGCAGCGCGCACCCCCTCCCAAGTCCGCATCTCGGCCCCGAAGTTCTTTTCCCTGTGTGCCTCCTTCTTGCTCTCCTGCCTTTTCCCCAGCCCCAGCCCTCCAACTTCACTCTTCCAGCTCCCACGTCTCCCGGCCTGGAACCTGCCCTTCCACATGCTTGATGCTCCTTCTCCACTGGGGCATCATGGAGGCAAGGGTCCCTTTAAGGACTGGGGTGGATAGAATGGAATCTGGCAGAGTTTTTAGCAGAGGAGCTCTGCGGGTTCAGATGTGTCAAGGATGGAGACCTGATAAAGGTGCTCCAGGAAGAGACAGGTCAACAAAGGAGCAGGGAGGAGAGAAGGCCAGTGTGTCTGCAGCTCTGTGGCCCCTAGAGGACCAGCCACTCTGTCCCATCCACTCTCTCCACTCATGTACCCTCTGCAAGCTCTCAGCAACCACCCAGGGACAGGAAGGATTATCACCACCCTCACAGCCCAGTCCATGGCCTCTGCAGGCAAGCTATGGCCTGTACTGGACAGGGGCAGCTCCCAGCCTTGCTATGGGAGACACCCCCACCCCAACACTCACACAGCAGAGTGGGTGCAGGGCCAGGCTGCTCAGAGTGGGATGGCAGAAAGTCTTGTCTGAGCAATGTGCTGCCAGGGGTGAGGGTAGGCTGGGAATTGAGGGGCGTGTATCCTGGCTTTGGTGATTCAGGTCCTAGGGAGTGCTGACTTCCTGAGATGCTGATTTGGTTGGACTTAGCACTGGTCATGGCCCGTTTGGGCAGAGCTCACCCTCAGTCCCACCAATGCTTGCTGTGTGGCTTGGCCATGCAAGGCATCATCTCTGCCTTCAGTGGAGTGACACCTATCACGGGGCCCAGTGCCTTCACTGGAACCAGTGATGAATCCTAGGATGCTGTAGCTAAGGACGGAATCCTTCACTTAGCCTCAGCAGCCCCTGCAATAGCCAGAGCCCTTGAGGGGCATCTCCCTTTCGCCTTGGGCAGTGGATGGTAGAGACCAGGTGGAAGCTGGAGTCCAGATGGTTCAGTGGTAGGTAGGGGGTCAGGCCTCTGACAGGGAGCATCAAGAGGGGAGGCTCAGGGTGGGGGGAGAACCAGTACGCACATAGACCTGCTCAAAAGGTTTGAGGATCAGGGCGAAAAGCGTCATGCGTCCCAGAGCGTCAAGAAGAGGAAGAGGACTGGGAGCGGCCACTGTCCTCAACGCTATTTCTGATATGTCGCCATTACCCAGGTCCCCACAAGGTTGTTTTTCCGGTAGGGAAAAGGTCTGGTAGGGAGGGAGGATTCCCCCAGGACCTTTCTACAGATGAGTATGGCAGTTCTGGGGGCGCTCCCTGGAGTGGATGGGGCCTCAGCTTCAGGAGGAGGCCAGGTCCAGCCTCAGGGCTCCCCATCCATCCCAGGTATGTTGCAGAGACCCTTGAAGCATGCCGCTGTCCATCCCTGCGACCCGGGCTGGTCGTGCCAAGTATGCCGCGTCTTCGGGCCACACCCTGTTCCCTCTCGTCGGGTTTGAGCGCCCCACCTATGCACAGGACATGGGGGAGAGGTGGGGTGAAGTGTGAAGACAGGGCGCCCCGGGAACTGCAGCCTGCGAGCTTTCCCTGCGCCCCCCTCAGGGTCCGCGAGCTCGGCCGGATGGAACAGCTGCGTGGCCGCGGCCGAGGCGTGCACGGCGAATGCGCGGTGCCAGAGGCTGCGCACCGAGTACGTGGCGCAGTGCCTGGGCCGGGCCTCGTCGGGGGGCTGCCCTCGCGCCCGCTGTCGCCGGGCCCTGCGCCGCTTCTTTAACCGCGGGCCGCCGGCGCTCACCCTCGCGCTGCTCTTCTGCCCGTGCGGGGACCCCGCGTGCGCCGAGCGCCGCCGCCAGACCTTCGTGCCCGCCTGCGCCTTCTCCGGGCCAGACCCAGCGCCGCCTTCGTGCCTCGCGCCTCTGGAGGCCTGCGAGCACAGCCAACTTTGCAGGTGTGCGGTGCAGGAGGAGAAGTCGGGAGCTGGGCACCGGGGCGTGCCCTCCCCCTCGCTCACGTTCCCTACCCTGTAGGTCCCGCCTCCGGGCCTTCCAGGCCTCCTGCGCGCCGACCCCGGTTGCTCCCGACGGCTGCCCGCGAGAGCAGGCTCCCGGCTGCAGGCACGCCTATGCTGGCCTTGTGGGTATGAAGGCGGGAGCTGGGGGTGGGTGGGGCTCCCCGGGGAATGCCTCCGCCCGGGTGGGCCGATGACCCCAACTCGGGGTCCCCCCAGGCACCACGGTCACCCCCAACTACGTGGACAACGCGAGCGCGCGTGTGGCACCCTGGTGCGACTGCGGAGCCAGCGGGAACCGGCGTGAAGAGTGCGAAGCCTTCCGGGGACTTTTTACGAGGAACCCGTGCTTGGGTGAGGGGCCCGCGTGGGGCAGCGCGGCGCGGGAATCGGGTTGGCGCTTACTGCCTACTCCCACCCAAGTCGCCTGATCCCGCGGGAGCCCATTTTAGAGGCGAGGAAACTGAGCTCTTTGTGGAAGCCACAAAGGCGCACTCCCCTTTCTGCTGTCGCCCTGTCCCTCGGGTAGTGCACGCCCAGCTGTCTCTGGAGACTAGATCATAGACTCTAAGTCTGGTGCCTCTGCGGGGCGGGGAGCGAGGAGGATGGGGCGGCGGGAGTAGTTAAGATGTTTCTGAGGCTCTGGAGGTGAACAGGCGAGATCTCTGCTTAGGCCACTTCGGAGGTGGTGTCTGCCCTGAAATGGACCTCCTGCCCCGGCCTGGAGGAGTCTGCCTTTTAGCTCAGTTCTTCGCTGCTGGGTCTTGAGTCAGGGAGCCTGAATTCCAAAAGCCACCTTCTGGCTGAGAGTTAACTGCTCCAAGCCTTTTTGTGTCTGACTGTAACATGGGAAGGATGATGACAGTCACCGTCTCCTGTGAGGATGGAACTACACACAGCGTGTCCAGCACTCTTAGCCAGCTGTCCTTTACCACGGCCTTCCCGTCCTGGAGCCAGTCCTTGCAGATGTCATGTGTTCCCATCCTTTGTGCTTGGGGGGTCCACACAGGCTGCCAGGGGTGTCTCAGTTTGTCCATGAGGAGCTGGGTCTTGTGCTAGGGGTGCCCAGTTGATCCCACCTGGACCCCTCCCTCTCTAGACCGAGCCATTCAGGCCTTTGAGAGCCGGTGGCCTCCAAGCCTGCAGGACCGCCACCAGGACCCTGAGCACAGCCTTCTGCAGGTAGGTGCGGGGCAGATATGTGGGCTGGCAGCTCCTGAACTGCCTCCTTGTATACCTTTGGATGCCAGATATGGAGACATTACTGGCCTGGGTTGGCGGTGCAGCTGAGAGCAGAGCCAGGCTTCTCACTTCAAGCTCACAGCTTTGCTCCCCACCCCCAAGGTCTCCTCTGCAGATTGGCTTTTGGAGGGGCGCTCCCTGCTCTTCATATTCCCCACCCTGGCTCTCTGGCCCCAATTCTGACAAGGACTGCAGACAGTGGACAAGAGAGACAACTGTCTACCCCTTCCTGGGGTCTCAGGGCCATGTCTGTGGCCTTTAGTCCCGCTGAAAAGGGCCTGGCTTACCCTCCACACTGACCCCGGTGCTTTCGCTTTGCTGCATTTTGCACATGTGGACACCCTGTGCCCCTGTCCCCTGGAGTTAGGGGCATAGGGAGGGGGGTCTGACTACAAAGCTGTGGCTTCCTTTCGGTAGGTTGCTTGGCTGTGAGTCCCTTTCTTCACCAACCTTGGGACAACTGGGGTCTTCCATAGAGTAGGGGTGGAGGAGGTGAGGGGAGAAAGAGTCATTTTTGTATCTGAGGCTGGAACCTCAGATCATGTAGATGGCCAGAGATCACTCAGGAAATTTTATCCCGTGCATAAAATGCCCCCTCTCTGCCCCCTACATTGCACTGCTGGCCACATGGGCATCTTCTCTATGGTTTAACCCAGCACAAGAAAGGCATTCCCAGCTCAATAAATCATGTGCACAGAAACTGACTTTGCTTTCATGTGGTCTGTATCCTGGGAGCTGGAAACCAGTCTGCTGCAGGTATGTGACCTCAAATGGCCTCAACACCTCTCTGGGCCCCAGCTCCTCACCTGCAATTGAGGTTGCTGAACTGGGATCAACTAACTGTCCTGTCCTGGAGGCAGGGATTTTCGTGGCTTGTTAGTTGCTGTTGAGTCTATTTCAACTCGTGGCAACCCGATGGGTGTAGAGTAGAATTGCTCCATTGGGTTTTCAAGGTTGTGAACTTTCGGAAGCAGATTGCCAGGCCAGTCTTCTGAGGAGCCTCTGGGTGGGTTCGAACTGCCAACCTTCTGGCCAATAGTGGAGCACTTAACTGTTGGCCTCACTCAGGGACTCTTTTTCTTGTTTACCCAGTATCTATTTTTTCTTTCTCTGTTAGAGCTCAGATTCAAAACAAAACAAAGCAAAGCATTTTCCAGCTTCCCTTGCAGCTAGAGGTGGCCTGTGACATAATCACATGATTGGCCAATGAGTGGAAGCCAAAGATGAGGCTTCTGGGAAAGCTCTTTGAACGGGAACAGTCTTGCCTGGAATCTCCCACATTCTCACCTTGAGCCTGGGCAGTGTTGAAAATGGAGCCACACAACCTTGTGGCGCCACTGCGTCAGCCCCAGGCCACCTGCCTCTGGGTGCTTTATTACAAGAGAAAGTTAATACCTCTAATTTATTTGAGCCAATTTCTCCCCAGGTTTCTGCAGCCAAATATAGGCCCTGGTTGATACAGTCCCACCCCTTTTAGCAGTCTTGGCAAAAAAAGGCACCTCTTTCCCCCAGCATTCATGGACTCATCCCAGGCAAGACCCTAATTGGTCCAGCAGGAGTTATGTGCCTCTTCCTATGGTCTGGGAATGACATCAGCCCATCAGCATGACATGGAATGGGGAGGGACAGTTTTCCAGAGGAAAAAGGAGTGTTGAGCAGAGTAAAGGATATATATAACCCATTGCCACTTTACAGAGAAGAGGGTATGTCCTCTGCCACCCACGAGTGGACAGCCTGTAAGTGTGTTGGGGAGCATGGCAGGGAAGTGAAAGCCCCACCTTGCCCTGATCACAGTGATCAAAGGGTGGCCCAAGTACCAAATTAAATATCTGCTAAATTATTTACTGGAAGCTCTGGTGGCATGGAGCCTCAGGCATTTGACTGCTAACCAGAAGGCTGGTGGTTCAAACCACCAGCCACTCCTTGGAAGGAAGGTTGGACAATCTATTTCCATAGTGATGCCGCCTCAGAAACCCAAGGAGGGGTCGCTATGAGTCAGATCCGACTTGATGGCAGTGAGAGTTTTAAATTACTTACCTTTGCAAGAGAGTTATTAAACTCTCTCAATTTTTGATTCCAATAATTAGAGTAAAATATAGGTATTTTGAAAAAAGCATATAAAATATAGTAATCTGGATATACACACATATATGTATACACACACATATATGTATACACACACATATGCACACATATAAGGAGGTCTGGTGGTATACTGGATAAGACATTTCACTACTAACCTGAAGGTCAGCAGTGCAAACCCATCAGCTGCTCTGTGAGAGGAAGATGGAACAGTCTACTTCCATAAAGATTTACAGCCTCTGAAGCCCAATGGAGGGTCGCTATGAGTCAATCTACTTGATGTTAGTGAGGTGTTTTTTTTAAAAATGCATATATATATATATATATATATATATATATATATATACACACACACACACATACATATACATACACACACATATATATAAAGGAGCTCTGGTGGCATAGTGCCTAAGGCATTTTACTGCTAACCAGAAGGTTGGTGGCTCAAACCCACCAGCCACTCTGTGGAAGGAAGTCTGGGCAATCTATTTCTGTAAAGATTTACCATCTCAGAAGTCCAATGTGGGCCACTATGAGTCAGAATTGACTCGATGGCAGTGGGTTTTCTTTTGTTATATGTATATATATACACACACACACTGCCGTATGTGTACATATACACATACATATATATTTTTGTTGTTAGGCGTTGTTGAGTCGTGTCCAACTCATAGTGACTCTATGTACAGCAGAATGAAACACCACCTGGCTCCATGCCAGTTCCATGATCCTTGCTATACTTGAGCCCGTCGTCACAGCCACTGTGTCAATCCATCTCGTTGAGAGCCTTCCCCTTTTTTGTTGACCCTGCACCTTACCAAGCATGACATCTTTCTCTAGGGAATGGTCCCTTCTTACAACATGACCAAAGTAGGTGAGACGAAGTCTGGCCATTCTCACTTCCAAGGAGCATTTAGGGTGCACTTCCTCCAGGACAGATCTGTTAGTTCTTTTAGCAGTCCACGGTACTTTCAGCCTTCTTCACCAGCACCACAACTCAAATGCATCAGTTCTTCTTCAGTCTTCCTTATTCACTGTCCAGCTTTCACATGCATACGAGGTGACTGAAAATATCAAGGCTTGTAACAGGCACATCTTAGTCCTCAAGGAGACATCCTTGCTCCTCAGCACTTGAAAGAGGTCCCTTGCAGCAACTTGCCCAGTGCTATATGTTGTCTAATGTCCCGACTGCTGCTTCCATTGGCATCGATTGTAGAATCAAGCAATTTGAAGTCTTTGACAACTTTAATCTTTTCTCCATTTATCATGATGCTTCTTATATATAAAAACATATATGTATATGTATATGAATATACCTTCCAAAAGTTTGGGAAGAAAAACATCAGCAAAACTTACTTGAAAATTGTTCCATGGTGTGGCTGGTTATCTTCCTTTAGCAGTTCTCTCCAACTCACCTGCTGGGTTTAACCAAACGGAGTCTCTTTAACATCAAGCAATTTGTAAAGGAAAATAAGTGCTCTTATTGGGTGCAGCTCACAGTGACCCCCACTGCCAGGCTCTCTGCTTTTTCCCAGGGTGAACATCCCCATCTGGTAGACCTGAGGCTGTCATGAAACCAGAGAACTCTGGAGAGAGAAGCAGAGGGAGAGAAGAGGGGTTGAGGGAAGCCAAAGCCCAAGGTCTTGCTGTCCCTGGGGTCAGTTGACCTTCCTGTAGTTTTGTTAGCAAAGTTGGTGTGTTAGTTAAGGTTGTATGTCAACTTGGCTGGGCCTGGTTGAATGGCTGGGCAGCTAGATGTAGTTATCCCTCAGGGTGAGATTGGTAATTAACTCCATGGTGGAATCTACTAGAGCTGCTGAGTAGCTGCTTTTGGGATATGGGCTGCTTCCAGTATATAAGAAGCAACTTTGAGGAAGGTCTCCAGCTTTTTGGAACGCTTGAACCCTGCATGTCTTCATTCAGCAGGCCGCTATGCTCTGCTGATCCTGGGACTTTTAATTGACTTGAATCAATGGCCTGTGGTGTGGTTTGATAATATCAGGACTGTGCCTTCTCACTTGTTGACCTTAGGGTTGTCAGCCTCAGCAGGTAGCAGCTGCCTGAGTGAAGAGATCCCTGTTGCTTCAGTGGGCCAGGAGTGAGAGGCAGAACTGAAGGCCAAGGTTGAGGGGCTTTCACCCAGCTCCTACAGCCTGGCACTTGGAACTCGGACTTCTCTGTAAGAGAATAAACTGTTCAAGCCATCCCATTTTGGTATATATTCCTGTCAAGAGGGGCACTAAACCAAAAACCAAACCAAACTCACTGCTGTTGAAGTAACTAAAACAGTTGGTTACAGTTCAGTTTCAGTCACCTCAGTCTAAAAAGGTCCTAGCTCGTTTCCTGTTGCATTGAGTCAGTTCTCACTCATGGTGGCCCCATGAGTGTCAGAACAGACTGTGCTCCACAGGGTTTTCAATGGCTGGCTTTTTGCAGTGGATCACCACTTTTTTCTGAGGTACCTCTGGGTGACTTCAAACCTCCTTCATTTCTGTTAGCAGCTGAGCATTCTGTTAGTGTTTGCACCACCCAGAGGCGCTGACCTGGCTAATTCACAGTGTTAATCTGACCAAACACCTTGAAGCTGCATCCCACTGTGGCCCCCACAACCAGTGACGGTTCCTGCCTTGCTCCTCTATGTTTGATTTCAACCTCAGTGTCCTGTCAGGTTTCCTGGTTGTTGTCATACTCTTGTGCATACTCTTGGAGAGTGCAGTCCTGACCCTTGATTACATCCCTGTGATGACGTCTCTGCTACCTGTTGCCAACATTGAGCCCCTAGCCGGCAGGTGTCTGGGGGTGAGACGGAAAGATGCTGGAAATGGAAACATCTATGGATTTATTGGTGGAAATTTCATGGTTCATTCATGCCCACTCTGGCTTGGAGCCTAATGTCTTGGTGGAAAGTTGATGTGGAAAATGGCTCACTGCTTCTCCTTCTACCTAACGCTGCCCTCCCAACATGCGTTAAGCCACACCATACTCACAGAACCTGCTCACTTTTGCAAGAAGTGACAGACCAGTGACATTTGCAGAGTTAGGAGGACACAGGCTGCACAGGGCTTCAGGAGAGGGCCCCCTGGCCAGACAGCAGCTTGTTGGTAAGCCTGACATGCTCATGACGGGAGCCCAAGACGTGGTGCTGCCTTGCTGGCAGCAGGCCTGAGGATGTCTTGGGAAGTGGCTCTATCAGGGAGCCGTCACCCTGAACCAAAAGGAGGCTCAAGTTCAAGGCAGAAGATACAGAGAGAAATATTAAGATGCGTGCACACACATGAAAATAAAATACACCCAAAAACTCAGGAACCTGGATGATGCAAATGAGGAGGAAAGCCCAAGATGGAGTGTGAGGGGCATCTTTTTTTTTTTTTTTAAATCAATTCCAATTGAAGTGAATTTAACAGCTTTAAAATTGAAACAATTAACCCCCCAACCATATTAAAACAAACTAACAAACAAACAAGCCTTATGGTTGCCCATTAAGCATTAGCTAAGTAGCAAGAGACACGTTTCAGAAAAAAAGTACGGAAGAGTCCTGAGTTCTGCAGACCAGTTCCTAATGGATAGCCTGGCCCCAGGAAGCAGAGAGCAGGGCTCCAACAGGGAGACACCTGCATATCCTCTTGTGGTCTGAGCTTGTGGGTCTCTTCCTTTGGCAAAATTCTTACCACTATGGTCACTTTCATGTTTGCAATATCCAGAGGGGACAGAAAACCATGTCCACATCCATC